GGCTCACGGTGGTGTTCTGTTGTATATAAAATCGTCACTATCTGGCAAACTTATCAGTACCTATCGGAGCGAGGATAGTTTATGCGAGCAATTGTGGTGCACAATCCGTCTCAGGCGCGCAGAACTATTTGTGGGGGTTATCTACCGGAGCCCATTAAACCGTTGCTGCGATTGGATACCACATGTACAGAAGCACATGAGCCGCCCTCAGTTCTTACTGATGGGGGATCTAAATTTACCTAAGATAATTTGGCCAGATGTCCGACTTCTTCCCGGTCATGGCAACGTTGAGGCTCAATTCGCTAAAATGACTATTGAAATTGGGGCAACGCAACATGTCATCCAACCGACGCGCGTAACTCCATACTCGGCATCTTGTCTGGACCTAATGTTTACGAGCTGCGAGCAGAAGCTAAAAGAGATCAGAGTCATCGAACCTCTGGCGAACAGTGACCACTGCTCTATTGTAGCAAGCTTAGAACTGTCGTTACCATATTACAATCAACAGAAGCCGACATTCAACTACTGGAAGACGGACTTCAACGGACTTGTCCAAGCTGCAAGTCAGACTGATTGGACACTACCACATGATGCGTCACTTGAGGCGTGGTGGTCATTAATAAAGGGGAAGCTTAACTCGCTCTGTACTCGGTTCGTGCCCCTTAAGTATCCAAAAATCGGACCTGTCAAACCGCATTGGTTTGATAGGGATTACAGACAGTTAGCGCGACGACGTCGTAAACTTTGGGATAAATACATCAGCTCGGGTTGTGATGAAGATTACGCGGTGTACAAGAAACAGCGTAACTTATGTAACGCCGCAAAGATCAAGAAACGCCGGCAGTTCGAAGAGGAACTAGCATCCTCGGCCGCAACTGCACCCAAGCGAATATTTGCCTACTTGAAACGTCAACTGAAACCTGGAGACGACCTACCGGTCTTAGAGAGCTTAGACGGGAAGACACTCATTTCAAGCGCGGAGCGCGCGGACGCCCTGGCTACGCACTTCCTCACTGTATTCTCCAGTAAACCGGCGGCTGTTCCAGTACCAGCACAGGTTGCGCCAGTCTTGCTCGACAGCCTACAATGTGATGCAGTCGAAGTACATCAGCTACTCGTCAACCTCAATGGTGCAAAGCCCCCCGGGCCAGACGGACTTTACCCACTAATACTCAAGTCCCTATCGATTATCATCTCACCAGTTGTGACAAACCTTTTCAATAGATCGCTCTCTGAAGGATCTGTCCCCAACGACTGGAAATGCTCGATAGTTAAACCGTTTCCCAAGGGTGGTGATCAGAGTAAAACAGAGAACTATAGACCGATCTGTTTGACTTCGGTATTATCCAAAGTTCTCGAGAAGGTTGTGAAAAAAATGTCTGCTGTCGTTCTTCGAATCGATGGACATATTGACGCCAGCGCAACACGGCTTTACGAAAGGGCGATCCTGCATCACCAACTTGATGTACGCAAACCACCAGTGGGTTCGAGCTCTCAATGAACAGAAGGATGTTGACGTAGTGTACATCGACTTTAGTAAGGCGTTTGATAGAGTGAACCACGAGGTACTCCTTCGTAAACTGAGGACATACGGAATCGGTGGCACGTTACTTCTGTGGATACAAGAGTTTATTGTGGGACGAAGGTTTAGAGTACAGGTCAATGACTATCTGACAGAATGGTTCCCATCGACCAGTGGCGTGCCTCAAGGAACTGTACTTGGGCCAGCATTATTTCTTATTCATATCAACGATCTTCCGCAGCAGCTCCAGTCACCATGTGTCCTGTTTGCAGATGATTTGAAAATCTGGAGGATCATTGAAAACCAGGACGACTGCGCTCGTCTCCAGCATGACTTAGAGCGACTGTCAACGTGGTCCACTGAAATGCAACTCCCTCTTAACACAAGCAAGTCGGAGTTCATCAGTATCACCAGACGTCCAGCCACTCGATCATACACCTTGGACGGCCAGTTGCTCCATCCCAACACATCTGTCAGAGACTTAGGAGTTCTCTCACGACATGATTTAAGATCACTAGAAAATACAGAGAAATTGTACCGTGCGGGACTTCGTATGCTCTGGGCATTACGACGCAGTTTCTCCACATGGTCAGAAGAAACCGTCCCTCGTCTATTCACCTCGCTCATTAGACCAATTCTTGAATACGGTGCCCCAGCTTACCATCCGATAACCCAATGGGAAACTGAAAAACTGGAGAAAATACAGCATATCGCAACTAGAATGATACGCAGTCTACGAAAGCTTCCATATGAAAAACGTTGTGAAAAGCTCGGACTCTACACACTATCCTATCGCCGAGTAAGAATTGATCTTATTATGACCCATCGAGTACTACACTTGAATCATTTCCCCATACTACGGCCAATATTTCACCTGCGAGAACCCTGTAACACCCGAGGACATCGTTACAAACTCAGGGTCCCCAGCATGAACAAAGTATCACATCAGCTTTGTATCGAACGAAGAATCGTAAACTTATGGAATACACTACCTGAAGGATTAATAGAGGCCGATTCTGTGAAGTGTTTTAAAACCCGTATCGACGATTATTTTGCAAACCTGTGCTTTTGTGAAACGATGCACATACAGTGCCAAAAGAATACATTGTATGTCCGGAAATAATGACGCTAGTACAAATTTCTAACCGAACACGGATAAACGATTAACGGACCAGACACAACTGCTGATAATTCACAAGTAAATTTTGATTTTTCGTAATTCGATAGAGTTGTACAGAAACCTTTCTACTTGCTCTTAAATACAGTATCAGTATCAGTATCAGTATCATCAAACCACGCCTCCGCATCTCCGCTCGCAAATTGAGTTGGCCAAGGTAATTTCATCCTGATTGGTCGTGGTACCAATGTAGCGAGAACAGTCTTTATTGCCCATGCACAACGGATTCACAGGCTAGCACGCACGCGCGCGCACGTACAGAGGAGGTGTCCCGACTACTACGCACCGCACATTGGCCTTTCGCTCGGCGTCCCATTCATGCCCCAGCTTCAGACGGTCAGTGAAGTCGCTGCGCGTCGTTCCCCCCTCGTATCTTCGCTTCCACACGTCCTATTCTGACCGGGCTGGATTCGTTCTAATGCTCTTGACTTGCTTACTCGGGGTTGCGTCGCTCTCCTCGTGGTTATTCTTGGAGGCGCGGCCAAACGCGTATCTCTCCGGAAATTCGGGCTGTTCACCAATACGTCCCCCGCTCTACTCGGCCTGGGCCTGACATCGTTTGTCGTTTGTTGTCCATTTCCTGGTTGTCCCGTAGGCTACGAGCTGTTAAGTCTACTTTTGTCCCCGGTGTCCTCGTTACTTTTCATCTTCCTTAGTTTTCGCGGCTTGTTCGTTCTGCCAGTGATCCTTGCCTTTCGTGCCACTACAGTATGAATTTCAAAAGCGGTCTGCTAGTAATCCCCTTCACTTATGTAGTGGAATTCCACCATACGCCTATTATCCCTCAGTTAGGTTGGACTTTGGAGGTGTTACAGTGATGCCTCTACCAACGTTGACACCCCATTACATGTGTTACCCTGGTTTGGGCTAATCCTATGGAGATTGCCTGTACCGGGGTGGAACTCGGAGCCTAGTGGTAGTGACAATGTTAGGAGTAGCAGCAGCACTTTCAATTCGGATACAGTCCTTATGATCGCAATGATCGAAACCTACCTCAAAGTGAACCGAGGTCCCAATGGAGATTGCGTGTCTTAATCCAATCCCTTGGCGGGTACTCCGAATAGAACTTTTGAGATTCCGCCCCATTTACTTCGAAACCACGGTACGCTATGTGTACACGTAATAGATGTTTATTGTATTATCCTATACATACATATTGCGTTACTTTTGTAGTTAAGTGTAGACCAACTAGCGCAGTGGTACAACGGTTTGACCTCTCTCAATATACCCAAGTGGATGGATCCAAATAAAACGGTTAGCCTGATTGTTGGGATGAAACTAAACAGGCATTTAATGCAATTCTGAAGGGCACTTAAGTTGACAAACGCTAGGCCATAATTTTGAGTATCAAAGGAACATTTCTCTACTAATGCCATATAAATTCCCCCTATGTTTTATGATTACACCAGAGAAAAGAGAAAAAAGTACATGACGGAGTCGCAAATGCAAGACTAAGTTAGGGGGAATGTTTTCTGATAATATCAGTCAGCTTCCAGCCCTGAAGTCGGAAAGAATAGACCGTCGTGCGCATTAACACAAACTAACCTTCAGCCGTTTAAAGGAAAAAAAATCAGTCTTCCGCGGTCAGCTGCAAATCCCCGGGGAAGTGGAACTGATAGGTAGCAACCGCAGTTTCAGTGATGAAGAACATTTCACCCTAATCGTAAACTTCCATGTTGTTAATGGATCTAACCAACAGCCATGTGGATTTCACTTTATTAGATGGTGGGATACTGTCACGGAGGCGAAACAGCTGACTACGATGGTACACACTAGCGGAGCGAGATCGGCCAGATCACGTGAGCGGCTGACAGACTGGTTGTCATGGTCAAACCGGAAGCTGACGAAATCAGACCGTCATCGCCGCATGGGTTGCTATGTCGCGGACGTGGTCCTACCTACAGTCAGACAGTGATGGCGGCCGCCCCGAGTCGAATCTGTTCAGACAAGAGATGTGAGTCACCTCAGCGATAGCAGCGAGGTAAGCGCATGTGACCTATAAAAGTAGCCATGTTCTGTACCTAATATACTTCGGTCCAGCAGGCTCTGCGTTTTGTTTTCCCCGGCTGGTTGGTAGCGCAGAGAGCAGAGAAGCAAAAAGGGCAGCGTTACAACAGATACACCTACCTCATTTAGTTGCACTGACTCTACCTATGGTAGTGTGGAAATTTCCGGCTCATTCCTGATTATGAATCAGAACCCGAACACATGGCAAGTGGTCAGAAGTTCTACACGAGAATTTGGCTTCGTAAGGTATAGATGTATTTATCACTGCGCAATGACGCACAATTACCAACACACCTGTGTCCGCCCTCGATAGCGGCATCCAGGGCATTTGATCCCGCAGGGATGTTTGCCACGTCAGCAGTAATCCGGATGCCTGGTTCAGCACCCCATCGAAGTAGCAGCTCGACCATGGCCACATGTCCATTTCTACACGACAAGTGCAAGGGCCCAACCTGAAAAGTGAAACAACACAGCAGGGATGGCATCTTGAGTCGAATTTTCTTAAATATTTTAGGTTAATTATTCACGAAGCGGCCACATTTTTAGTGGCCGATGAGTCACTTAAAAAAACAGCTAATCTGTGGAACGTCGGCGTTTATCGAGGCGACGAGATGAACTATCCTGATTACACGGAAAGTAACAGTTGCAAAACCATCCATAAGAGAAGACAAATCCACACATCAGCAGAACATCGCAAAAACCTTCAGCGCTAACCACAAACTGCTGTACAAGCACGCGAATAGCCTACGAAAGATGGAACAAGGATTTCCTCCACTCAGGACGGCCGATGGCACAATAACAACAGCTGTGGAAGCAGCAAAGTCGCTACGAATGCAATATTACCCCGCGCTTCATAGGGTCTTGCCACCTAGCGATTTTCCGACCTATGTCGTCTCTTCACCAGAAATAACCCATATCACTTTTACCGCATTGGTTGCATTGTAAAAGCTGACGTCTCTGTGCACACACAGCTCGTCCAGAGGCACTGGAAGCAAGCAAACTGGCATGACCTTTAGTTCAGTTGTTCTAGTGCTGCTTGGGCCAGAACAAAGTTCCCGCTATGTGGAAGCTTGGAATAATAACACCGATTTACAAAGGTGGAAGTAGAACTGAGCCCTCAAACTACCGCGCAGTATCTCTTCTTCCTTTACTCTCGAAGGTCATGGAAACCATAGTTGCCAATGCACCGGTGATTTATCTGGAAAACAGTAACATCATCACATCTGAGCAGCACGGCTTTCGCTGACAGAGGTCAAGCACAACGAATTTACCGATTGCATGGAGTAGTTGGACTGAAACAGCGGACGCTGGAGAATGCGTTGACGTGATCTAACTGGACTTCTAAAGGCTTTCGATCGTCCATACCATTTTCGAGTCAAGTTAATTAATAGAGGAAACATGTTGGTTCGTAAGCATTTCAACTTGGTTCGTAAGCATTTTCAAGTTGGCTCATAAGCATTTCCAAGTTGGTGCGTTTGGCTCATAAGCATTTCCAAGTTGGTACGTTTCAAAGTTTGGCTTAGGTGTACACTCGCACCGTCGAGTAGCTTCCTCATTGGTCAGACGCCGTCGGCCAACAGGATGCCGTGTGTAACTATAGAGCAGGTGTTCTCAAACATTTCGGCACGCGCAACCCTTTGCAGTGTAACCTAGCACCACGGATCCCTGAGCTTTTCGTATCCACAGAACTAGGCTTCAATAACAAGAATGTGGTGGAGTTCATCGCTGTACACTGAACTGGCACAGCTGTTCATTTATGTTGGCAAAAGTGAAGGCATTTGAACTTACATGGAAATGCAACTATATTAAGGCTTAGTACCTTGGATAAAAGTCATTCCGACTTGCAGCGCTGACTTGTTTGATGCTACGTGTTATTGAGGAAAGCTATAACCTCGTATGTCGTTACGCTTCAGGTCTGTTTCGGTACTTTGTTTTCTATAGATATAATGCGAGAACGCAATCTCACACAGCTACGTTGTGGCAAATGGGAGAAGCACAGCGATAGCTCTCTACCATGACAAGGTACACATCGTTCGCTTTGCATCAGAAATCACACAGAGACAGTCTGTGAAAAGCTATTTGAAAGGAACAATCTTAGGTCATCTCCATGAATTTTGTATGCATGGCCGGATACGTTTCTCGGTTCTGCTGTCAGCGCATTACCATAACTAACGATGTAAGATGCTTCCGTAGCTTTGTTTACAGTCTGCGACGCGTGAAGCATGTACGTTTGGGTGTTCAATATTTTATCTCGCATGCGCTTTAAGTATTTTTTCTGTCTTTACAGTCCGTATGAATTTCTCAAAATGCCGCTGCATTTTAATGGGCACCATGTTCAGAAGAACTTTGTTATACAAGTCACCTTGTGGAAAATTATTGAACTCCATAAATCCAAAACGAAGATAGAGGTTGTTGTATTTCCGCCTCTCACCCACTGGTACAGCGTATCCGGTTTGCACAAACTTATATGGCATCACATCAGGTAGTACAGAAACATCGCACGTCTCATATGTTGCATCCACAGAAGGCACATTAGATGGCCCAACTACTACAACATCTGAATTCGACGAACAATATTCCTGTGAAACATTTAGCAATATTCCACTCTTCATTGCATGGCCGCTGTTGATGTTACATGTCTAGCTACCACAATGGAGATAAATAATTAAACACACGAGTCCAAAACACACCAGGACTTTGGTTACTATGAGAAGTTGGGCTTTGAAAGGAGTAAAGTATTGAACCAAACGACCACCCTTTTGTAACGTCGCTGATGTAGTTTCCCCCTAATTCGCGGAATCGCATGAGCACCTTGGTTAAACACAGAAATATCCACGCTTTCCCCCTGAGCTTCGGTGGACGCGATCCCGCAAACGCGCCACTCCTTCCGGTTTGCTTATTTCAGAGGATAGTAACACTTTAAATGACCGTAAATTTGGGCCCTATCGTATGGCGTACCTCTCGCTCCCCCTCGAGGGACAGAGACTGGGTTATGTGAGCTTGACCGGACGTGGAATGACCCATCTAGCCACTGCCCATGGCATCACGATGAAATAAACACACGACCTTGCTAAACTTGAAAAACCTCGTTCGCTCACATTTTTACTCCCTGCCAAAACAAGCTTCCTCCTTGGAAGGGGTACGTTTTCATGGACAATGCACAAGGCTATAATGTAAACCGTTACATTTGATTTAAAGTTTTCACAGCATGTTTGTCATAAATTTGTGAAATAGACCGATCGCGTCCATAAAATTTCCTAATAGAATAATAACACTGTGGGAGATCACGCGGATTCCCTGAAAATAACCCATGGACCCCCTGGGCATCCGCGGACCACCCTTTGAAAAACAGTACTATAGGGATTCTTATATTCATAACTTATGCCCATTCAGACATGAAGAGAACAATGGCGAAGAAATTTCGTTCCGATAAATATCGTCAGGCGCTACAATTATGAAGCAGATAACTGAAAGTTGCAAAAAGCTGCTGTTAGCTATGTACAAGGACAAGGACGTCAGATGATAGAGGGAACAGTTAAACTGGGAACTTATTATGTATAACAATCAATAACAGATTCAAACGGGTAAAGTTGGACCGGTGACCTTGAGGCCTGCTAACTACGTGAGGACCAGTTCAGAATTAGCGATTGCACGATAGCTCGCTGAATGCATAATCCTGGCTGAAGGCGTCCGATAGCAAGAGCTTCAGCTATAGTCAGGAAGCATCTTTTAAGTCCCTTTGAGCATCGCCATGGGGCAAGTAGTAGAACCGTAAATGAGTCTTTAACACGGCATTGATGACCAGTGTTGATCAGGTGCTTACAGATGCGATGACCATAGCGCAATAACTCTTCTGACTGAATAACAGTGTGATTGCGTAACTGTGAAACTACACACTGATAACTGCACACGATCAATAATATGACAGTCTTTGTGCATGTGCCACGATTGATAGCCTTGCGCCACCGTACACTTGGTAAACTGAACAAGACCCTCTTAGGTAAGCAGTGATCAAGCATACGTAGCGTGTGCCCGAGCCAACGCAACTTATTCAGTGCTATCTGTTGTTCTATGGAATAGCATGATTTTCACTGCCTAATACTCGCCTACGCACATCATCATTGTGGACACACTGATGCCATCCGACTTCAGCAATGCTACGCAGACAACGGTGATCAAAGACTTGGAGGCGCCTCAGATCTTCAGACCGAAGGGGCCAAGTCTCACTACCATAGAGCAGGATGGCGCTCACTGTGGCCTTTTCATCTTAATGATAAACGATACATAACACTTTGCTAAAGTGCAATGGTTTAACCACTGATACCTTACGTTCCACGTTGGAACATTTTGACGTTAATTTTCTTTTGCATATCCATCCTGTGGGTCTTGTAAAGTTATGCTTTTTATCCCATCATACACCATTGAACCATTGAATCAGATTCGCGAGATACAGTTCTTGGAAAATACAGTAGCATGAACAATCTGGAGGGTACTTAGATCACCAATTTACGAAAGAGATGTCCCAAGGATATTACAGGGGAGCTTCAATTGAGAAGGGTGCAAAAACGGTATTACAATGCTGGTATGCTGGTCGCAGCAGACTACCTTCTGAGCTCAGACTCAAAGTAGCTTACTATAAGCAAACACACGATATTAGCATTGTATATGAACCAACTTCCAAGAACGGTTCAAAAAACCTTACTCAGCTAGTAACAGCAACTGGCTGTAATACCCGATACGGTGCACTCGAAGAGTTGGCCAAGCCAGAATTACAGATTCCCTAGATTTGACGCAGATCCATTCGTCACCGCCCCACACAAAAATTGATTAATGACCGAGCACGCACCAGCCGGCGAAAGTCATAAACAAAACGCTAATTCCCGGACTTTCTACTGAGACATTAGAAACGCTGTATGTACGCTGGTGCATATAACTACATAGACCAATTTGAAAAACCACTTCTAAGCCAAAGACCACATCTTCTTACGTGAAACTTGGTTGCACCCAGAAATTACCGAGCCACAGGTCGATATATATAAAGTATGTGGGTTGTTCGAAACGACTGCTCGATTAAGGCAGGTGGGATATATCAGTAGTACTCTAGCGACCCGCAGTGAAGACCAGCGATAATCCAGCAAAACTGCTCATAGACTCGCTCTGATGCTGCTGAAATTGAAATTCAACTTCATCTAACTTATTGCAACCGTTTATGGTCCCCTAATATGCAACCCAAAACAAGCGTACCTACAAAATGAGCCTTGGTAAGGGTCCTGAGACCAACCTGTAACCATGCTCTCATCTTGATTAACTTCGACGTTCACAATCTGGGAATTCAGGCAGGCCCATTGGGCCGTTCAAGGCAGACTTGTAAAAGTTTATTGCAAGCATTCAGCTCGTTAGCCACATCAGTTCACCCATTACAGACCTAGAGCCAAAAACGAGCATCCGTGAT